TAGGTAAACATAGAAAGAGCAATAATAGTAAAACTCGAGCGTCACGACATTGCGAAGTGTCTGCTCTTGTTCCTCGTATCGTACTCACTCGAGTCAATCCGAGATGGCCCGAGTGAAGTTTCATGCAAGTGTTTAGTACGGAAAAAAAATTGCGGCCGAAGCCCCTTACTATATGAGGCGCCAAATGTACTTTCATTACTTAAAAAATTATATAAATATAATCTTGTTAAATGATGAAAGTTTGGCGCCTCACACCTTACTGGCCGCAATTGAAGGTTTTGGGAAATTTCATATTCTATTCTATTTTATGTGTTCAGGTCTACTATTGTAGCCTACATTATTTGGGCACTGTAAGTATTGTAACCATAAAATTGATTTAATATTTTGCCAGAGGCCAAGGCTCCGAGAAAGTAGCCTTGAGGTCGTAGGCTATTTAATGGATTTCTGAGACCTATAATTCGTGAAAATTCTATTAAAATTTTATTCATTTGGTGTTGTTAGGGACCTGAAAAAAGTAACGTTTTGTGTCATTTAAACTAATAATTTCTAAAAATTCTCCTGAAACAGAATAGGCCTATACGTTGTAAGTCATTTTCACTTTCGGCAATCAAAACAAAATCTTCTGCCCAGAAGAGGCGGTTTATTTGACACCCAAACACACGGTACCACATTCTGGTTCAGTAACATAGAGAGAGCGTATTAATGTAGAGAATACACAGCCTAGCTTGTTCTACTCAACATCAACATCAAAATAATCCGTAATGATATCACCAAACCTACCAATAAATTGAACATTACTAAACAATTTGTCGAAAAGTTTTGATATCTTGCCACAAATACCAATATCGAAAGCAATTGATAAAAGGTCATCGCTCCAAAATGTATCAAATGCTTGCAAAAATCGAGAAACACTAGATAGGTTGGTTTATTTTTTGCTGTGCATGATAAGGCTTCTAAAAAGCGTGAAAATTTAGTCCTCACATCTATGATTGCTTCTGAAACCCCCACTCCCACTGAATTTTATTGAGAATTTAGTTTTCTTTTATGAACTCGGAAATACGATTACAAATTATGTGATTTTAAAGATTTTAGACACGACTGAATTTAAAGTTATTCCCCTATAATTATTTAATTCGTTTTTTCCCCTTTCGTAATAATGGAACAATGGACCACTTGTTCTTCAGTGGGGATTTCTTCAAAGTAAACAAACTTCTTAAATAAAAGAGTTGAAGATTTAATTGAGTTTGTGCCCCAATTCTTAAGGAGTTATTCGTTATGTCATCAATTCCTGGCGATTTGTTATTCTTGGCACATATGATAAGCATTTTCAACATCATCAAAACTAAGGTGTAAATCTTCTAATATGTTTGTCGGTTGCTTATCAATTAAGCAAGCGGTTTTACCATGCCTAATGTCATTTACACCAATTTTCATAAGATCAGCATTACAATTTTGTTGGATTGGATTTATTTGGTGCAAACACTTAAGTCTAGAAGCAGACTTATTTCCAGTGGGGTCCTTCTGGTGGTGATTGGACAGTACACCGGAAGCCAATCCCTACCGTACTCTTTTCCGAAGAGTGACTGCGTTCGTGCGTACGTGCACATGGGCCATTTACGCGTAAATTCAAATAATGTTTACCCAGTTTCAAGTTGACCATTTTACGCTAAAATATGAAAAATCTGGACCCATTTTCTTAAAATTTTACACATTTTAGGCTAAATATGAAAAATCTGGTCCCATTTTTCATAAAGTGGACTCATTTTACGCATGAAATTGCATAATTTGAACCAATTTTTAAAATGTGGACCCATTCTTTGTGGACCCATTAGAAAAATTGTGTGGGACAGACCCAATAGCTGGCTCGGCATTGCCACCATTGACCTTTTCAGGCACATGCTGTTGATATTCATCAAGAGTTGTCTCGTTCCGGCTCGATTTAGATGTAGACCTCCACGGTTGAACAGGGAATAATCGATAGAACTTTCAAACTTTTTGAAGTTACTATCATATCATGGTCACCAAATTGTTGATTGCCGCATTTGTTGTCACTTCTTGGACAAATATTTGATAAGACAGTATATTATTAGGAGCACCATGGACCTATTAATAATCTTATTAATAGGTCCATGGTAGCACCTTGTTGCAAGTCACCAAGTAATTTAGAAAATTATTCTCATGCAGATTCTTATGGTTCAGCAGAAGTACAATCATTAGTAAGCCTACCTACATGGATGATGATATTTTCAAATTCATTAACGCTGATGTTATCATATATTTATGAACAATATGTTTCCTCCTCTAGGGCATCGTAATGCGATGTTCACAAGGCCAATGCTGGAATCATACTGTCACCAATGAATAATGTGGGACTAGTAGAATGAGTAGGTGATACACTTGGATAGTTTAGATCATCGTGGTAGGCCTATTGTCCATTATCATACCTTGGCTGTGAATGCGGTCCATTCTCTATTAAGACATTTGCATTTTCAGTTGATACTGGTACCGTACTCTTCTGATATTATAGCAATTAATTGTGGTAAGCCTGGTTCTCAGGAGAGCCCTATATATCCGGTTCGGGAGCTAACCGTTAGCACCTGCGTGAGAACGCCCGATCGGTTGGCGCTAAACGTTAGCAGTATCCGGATGCCGCTAACGGTTAGCAAGCGCTATCGGCTATGTTCCCACACGGCTGCTAACGGTTAGCAGGATCCGGATCCTGCTAACCGTTAGCTGCGTCCATACGATAAAATCCCGATCCGGATACCAAATATATGGTGATCGAATCACTGGCCAATAAGAAACTGGAAATTGTAAACGCGTACGTGTGATTGGTTGATAATAAAAACGCGCTTAACTTGCTAACCGATAGCGCTTGCTAACCGTTAGCGGTATCCGGATACTGCTAACGGTTAGCACTAACCGATCGGGCGTTCTCACGCAAGGTGCTAACAGTTAGCGTTAACGGTTAGCTCCCGATCCGGATACTAGGGCTCTCGTGAAAAAAAGAAAGGTATATACAGTGTTCGAATAAAGGACATGATAGGCCTAATACATATAGTGTAGCATAGCTCTCAATGAATGTAGTAATATAAATTTTTTTAAATAAAGAAATTGTGTAATGTCAATGGCGAGCCTCATAACCATTAGACCACAGAGGATTCATGGTTGAACAGATTCAAATAACGTCAAATACATCGTGTAGCATAGCTCTCAACGAATGCAGTCCTATAAATAAAATGCCTCTGACGGGATTCGAACCTGCGACCTTTCGCAATCAAGGCGAGCATCATAACCATTAGACTACAGAGGATGTGAGGAACAGATTCAAATAAATTCAGATACATTTTATTACACAATAGATACGGCTGGAAACAAATAATAGCATATAATAAATTAATATAGCCGTTAACACTGTTAAATTATATATAAATCATCAAAAAAAAGTGTTCAAAGAAAGGACATGATAATACATACGGTATTGTAGCATAGCTCTCAACGAATGTAGTAATATAAATAAATACATAAAGAAATTGTGTAATGTCAAGGCGAGCATCATAACAATTAGACCACAGAGTATTCATGGTTGAACAGATTCAAAAACGTCAGATACAATATTACACAATAGGTACGGCTGGAAACAAATATATATATATAATATAAATCAAGATCTCACTTTTTTTTCTTGTTCTTCTTCTTGTTTTTGTTCTTCTTCTTCTTCCTCTTGTTTTTGTTCTTCTTCATGTTCTTGTTCTTCCACTTCTTCTTCAAGTTCTTTTCTTTTTTCGTCTCAGTATATGTAGAAATGATAGGAAAGTAGCAGAAGAATAACTTGAAAGAGGAAATAAGAAAATACTATTATTATAATTATTATTATTATTATTATTATTATTATTATTATTATTATTTTAACTTTTTTTTTATTTTATTTTTTTTAAATTATTATTTTTAAAAAAAAACCAACGAAGGGATATATGTTTTCAGTCGTGTACGTTGGTGTGCGGGTGTGTGTGTGTGTGTGTGTCATGTTTTGGTGTTTTCGTGTGGATTTTTTGTGTTATTATTATTATTATTATTATTATTATTATTATTATTATTATTATTATTATTATTATTATTATTATTATTATTATTATTATTATTATTATTATTATTATTATTATCATCATCAATTTGTTTAGGCTGTTTTGACCATGTAACAAAACAATTTAAATACTGCGCGCGTGTATGATAGGCAAAAATAAACAGATTGAGCGCACTCCACAGTGTGCAATGTTTGGACGATTTCATTATCCGAAAAGGCTATATAAAAATGCATTTCCTAAAACGATCAATTACTTGTGAACACTATAAAAATAGATTTCTAATCTATTCATAACACTCTAAAATAAGATAAGTTCAATATCAAGCGTATTCATTTATTGAATTTTAACAAGTCTTCGATACAGGAGGTACCCTATTTTCATCAGTTCACAAAATGGAACGCGCCCAGATTTCTGGGCCGGCTGTGAGCTCAGTCAGTTTTTATTCTTGAAAGCCTTTGAAAGAATTTAAAAATGACAAAAACATTTTTATCTAATCAGATTATTTTAAATATAGCCTATAACTGCTTATAAGAAAATTGCCTTTCTGTTGACGCTTCAACCTAATCAAATGGATTGTATAAGCAAAGTATGACGCTGTAAATAAAAGACTCACAAATCACAAGCCGGCTGAAATTACTAATATTGCTTATATTTTTGTAATTCATCCCATAAATGACAAATCTAAATATTTGAAAACAAATATTTTGTAAATTGTTTACAATAGTTATATTTATAACCTTCTATAAACCGTTTCAACTAAGCTATCCAACCTCGAGCAAGTTATTGAGTTACCGTTTTTGTAGTAAAATCAGTCAGATGTTTTTGAAGAAACGCTAATGGTTAAAGAGATAAGGTGCTTTTCTCGGCGGCGCGTTTGCAGTTAAGCGGAACAAACAAATTGATATGATTATTATTATTACTATTTTGTTGTTGTTGTTCTTGTTATTGTAGTAGTAATAGTACGGCATTTAAATGTGTACAATGTAACCAAAACGCCACAGGCGCGGATCTAGTAGTGAAACGTGACACCCCAACCGCCTTAATTGTTTTGCCACTAAATTTTAAAATTTAAAGACATATATTTAAATTAGCACTACTCACTTATCTGAAGATTTTGTGCCACCCACTCCGTTTGAAAAATTCTGGATCCGCCCCTCGGCGCTAGTATTATTGGTTACACTATTTTCCAAATATCCAGTCATAAAAATGACTAGAAAAAACATAAACTCGTTTCAGTGATTTTGCGGACTGAAACTCGCCCGGATAAATTGCCGCTTTTACTGTAGAACTCGTCAACTGTCTTTGAGTGAGATACATTTGGGCTTCTATAAAAGGTTAGGGGATATCTACTTTACCAGATGGAAAATACAGAAGTCGTCACGATGACGTTGGTTGCGGTAATCTCTATATTTTGTATGATGTTAAACATGGTTATTGTTGTTGTCATCGCGTTGAATAAATATTTACGAAATTCCTACTATGCTTACTTGCTCAACTTAGCGACAGTTGATTGTATGAAGTTCTGTGTATTTGTCTTTGGGGTTCTCTGCATTTTATTCGATATTAAACCTACTTCAGACAGCATAATATGTGATATTGTGGGCATTGCATTCGTTGTGTGTTCATTAGTTTTAATACAAACCTTGACGATACTCTCTTATGTTCGCTATTGTAAAATAGTTAAGAATACGGACTGGTCATTGATTAAAAGACGTTTTAGTATAATTTGGATTTGGCTTTCATCAGGGCTTTTATCACTATGCCCTTATGGATTCGGTGGTTATTATTTCAATCCTGTATGTATGGCATGTTTCTTCGACACTAAAAGTAACATACGATATATTTTCTTTACCGTGTATGTTCCTTATCTCGTTGCATCGTTTTTAGTAATAAGTTGTTGTAATGTAAGTATAATTCGCAAGTTTCGCCAAAGCAGAGTGAATGTTCAGCCGACACAATCTGAAGCCACAGTCAAGAAAGAAAAAATATTCACTCGCACAATATTTCTTATTATTGCTTTATATGTCATTTGTTGGAGCCCTATGATAATTATAAATATTATCAACTCATTTACCTCTCAGCCTGATATTGTAATACGATGTGCTTACTACTTTACTGTATGTAGCTCTGTGGGAAACCCTTTCATATATGGTTATACCAACAAAAAGATTAGAAATTTTTGTATTCAATACATCATATATTGTCGATTTCGAGCTGAACATACTTGAAATAAAGCACAATTCTTATAATAATGTAATGTAATCATGCTTTATAATGAATATATGCTCAGTGGCGGATCTTGAAATTTGAAATAGGCCTACAGTGTATATAATGTTACATAATATATATATATATATATATATATCCATAT